TGTATTCTTATGATAATAATGTAGCTCAAACAAGGGTTTAGTTTTTTTCCTTCTTTATATATTTTTTAAAGTAGATGGGTTGGGTTGGGCGGGTTTATTTGGTTTTAATGGGTTAACCCAAAAACTAACCTGCCCACATAGCCGAAAGAACGAACCCGCTTAAAAACAACAAAAAAGAGGACCTAAACTGGTTGAGTTGGATCGGCTCGATCGATTTTGGCTGGTTCGATCGGGTTTCACCACCCTATACACAAGGCCCATATAATTAGCCCTTATTTGACAACCATTAATTGGAGAAAACATAGTTTTGAATAATATTTTTAAGGATAATGTGTGTTAAAAAATAGGAAAAAAATTTTAGGTTTGCGTGCAGAATATCATATTACGCGAATATGTGATAAAAGATGAATATTTATAAAAAATAATCTGAAAAAAATGATTGTCAAACATAGGCTTATTTGATGGGCTATAGCCGTCTTCTTAATTGTGTTACCACACTCCTTACTGGTTGTCCTCTACATTTCAAAAAAAGTCAACATCAACCTGAATTTAATTTGTTACGCTACTAGATTTTGTGGATGTTGCCGTTTCTACAGAAAAAAGAGCCAAAGAAGTAACCGAAATGATATGGGGAAAAATATTAGATGAAAAATAGACAATATATTAAACCGACAAATAATATAATAACATATGATATCATGTAAGGTATTTTGTAATCCTTGATGTACACATAGCATTGTTCATATTTTATTATGATTCTTCTACATATACATAATAAGTTTACACAATAGTTTACATTCATATGATGTAGTGAGATATGGTTGAGTCAAAATTTCTTCAATCAAATTTAAAAGAAAAAAAAAAAACCCTTCTCTGCTCTCTTTTTAATACCACATCTATATTATCTAAATTATTATGTAATTCCTTATATACAAGTAGTATCATTCATTTTATTAAGCATAATACTATTTAGTCCCAATGGGATCATAACCTCAATTTATATGGCTCTAATGTGGCACTAAGGTAGTGTTTGATTGTCAATACTTTTCATGAAAAATATTTTTTTCCCCCTCCAACATTCTTACTTTTATACTGTTTGATTGTCATTTTATTCCGTGGAAAATATTTTCTTACTTTTAGTCACATGATTATATTTTCTTCAAAATCATGAAAAATATTTTTTTTAAAGGGGATTAGGATTTTATTTTTCAGGGAATTCACTCTCTCTCATCTATCCACTATCTCTCACTTACTCACCAATAAAAAAAGGATAAATATAATATTTTCTAAATTGAAAATTAAATCAATGAAACACATTTAATTGAGAAATTTCATGCAAATAAATTCTAGGCAATGAAATTATCTAAAATTTATTTTCTTTCTATGCAAAATTCATGTTTGCAATTAAATGCACCCAAATTGTTAAATAATTCAACCTTTCATTAAACTCATCACTTAAAACCATATAAACTAGGGCTATAACGCTAGTGAGACTTAATAGCATGACTCTTTTATTAATAGGATACGGACATCCATGTTGTTTACGAAAAATTGCAGTTTTCATCCTCAAATTTACAAATTATTACAAATGAAATTTTAAATTTTTTTTTGGCATCAGTCATCTTTAACCTTTCATCATTGACCTTTCTTCTAGGAGTTATAATTCTCATAAATTTCCTGATTGCAAAACTAAAAATTAACAATACTAATATTAAATTATCTGTAATTAAGTAATTACAGTTAGATTGACTAAATGCTATAATTTAATAATATATAATTTTGTATATATTATGAGTATCCTAAAATTCACAGTATTCAATCCTTATGACTATATGATCGATTTATAGGAACAACACGCTTAACAAAGTTTAAATTATAATTTAAAAATATTTTTTATTACACGATGGGGAAATTACATAATACCAGGTATTTAAACATCCCAATTCAAAAATCAGGTATCAATATAATAATTAAATATTAAATATATCCATCCATCCCTTATCGCCCAAACCCTAGGTATTGAACACAACTTCCTTCTCTAAATCTCTATCGACATCTCTCTCCCTTCTCTCTTCTTTTTCACTGATCACCGTCGTCTATGACACCACGTCTTCTTCGACGTTGAAAGACATCACGACCAGCATCACCATGTAGGCCAAACCAACCCTCATAGCTTACATTAGGGTTTGAAGCAGCCCCACAAATAGGTGATTTGAGCTTTCTCTGATGTAATTACAATGCAAAAGCCACTCGACGATAAACACCAAAAAAACACCACCACCAGGACGATAGCGTACATACCGTACTTGTTGTATCCCAGCCAGCCGGAGAATAAAATCTCGGTGTTTTTCCCCAAAAGAAGGTCATAAGCATCATCATGTGGCGGTGGTTGAAAATGCTTGGCGGTGGCACCATACCCACGTCACCATCCATTCCATTCATATGGCCACTATCCATCCTGTTCATGTGGTTGCCTTCGTTCATCTCTACCATGCGGTCATCGGGTGTGCAAAGAGAGGTAGGTTTGGGATTGGGATTTGTGTGGTTTAGCTGAGAGATGAGGCTCTGCCGTGATCATTAAATGGAGCCTTCTCCAACGGTGTTTTTTCTGGTCGTGGTGGTTTTTAGGGCGGCGAAGGCGGTTGTTGGTGGCTGGAGAGCTGATGGAGTTGATTGTCGTGAGTATTGTTGGCAGCTGATTGGATCTGGTGGTGGTAATTGCTGTTGGTGGTGATGTCTTGGTGTTGGTTTTGGTGGTGTTGACGACGCCGCAGTGATTACTTTTGTAGGGTGTTGGCAGTTTTGTATTTGTTTTGTTTGTGGTGAGGTGGTATTAGTTGTGGTGTTTCAATGACGGGGCTGCTGGAGATGGTGGTGGTGGTAGCGGCGACGATCCGATTGGTGGTAGTAGTGAGGTGATGATCATAAGTGTTGGTGGTGGTTACAGATGATTTGATTGTTTGTGACCAAGACATTGGCGTATATGACCAACCATTCAGTTATCTGTGACCAACTATTTATTGCGATCTAAAAATTTAATAATCCGTGACCAAATAATTTGAACTCAAACTAATCTGTGATCTGTAAATTTTTTATTTGTGACCTTGAAATAAACTGCGACCTATAAATTTTTTTATTTGTGATTCAAAATAATCCGTGACCTATAATTATGAATATGTGACCAGTAATCGTGTAACCATGACTTTATATTTAATTAATAAATATTTTCTATTAATTATTAATTATATAAATATTTGAATTTTGAATTTTTAAACTATGTACTAAATTTGTGAATTTGTATAAACAATACGTTGAATTATGACTTTTTCCCTTACACAATTATTATTGAGGCCCGATAAATTAAAAAAAAAAAAAGCAAGGACAAAATAACCATTAAGGTTGGGAAGATCAAAATTTGGGAGTGAAAAGGGGAGAAATTATTTGACAATTATTCTGAGCACTTGGTCTCCGTTAATGTCATCTAGGGCTGTAAGCAAAAATCACAAAATCGGAAAATCGAACCGAAATCGCATTTTAGAAACCGTTGGTTTGGTGCCACGTGGACCCAATCAACGAAATGGTTTTGACCCAAACCAAACTGGTCAAAATGGTTTTGTTTAGGTTTGAGAATTTTAATTGCGGTTTAAAACCAAACCAGATCGGGGAAAAAATATATGAAAATAAAAAATAAAGAAATGATTTTTTTTTAAAACTCATCCAAATATGTAAAATTCAATAGTTTTGTCATTTGTGAGTATTTTTGTCAATTTCTAATTTTTTAATACAGATATATTATTATTATTATTATTATTATTGTTATTATTATTATTCAATAATCCTAATATATATCTAATAATCTCAAGACTAACATAATTTATCAAAAGTCATTTTCCTCTTTAGAATTTAGATGAACTCCAGCCGATATCCAACACAGTCTTGAGCCACCGACACCACACACTTCTTTTTCAGATTTTTCACACTTCTTCAAAGTTGAATAGTAGTCTATTATATCAAATCGAAGATAAAGAGATCCTAAACATTCAGTGATAATATTTGCGACGAATAAAGTTTCAGATCAATAATTTTTTTGGAACAAACTAAAGTAAGAATTTGAAATTAAATGTGTTTCATAACATCATATAAATGTAAACTTGTGTAATTGTTATATTTAGATATTATAAACAATTGCTTTATTATTGTGGTTGATTATTCTCTTTGTCTAATCAGTATCCTTTTTTCAGATATGATGATCACGAGATCTTATTGGACATCATTATATTTTTTGGCCCTTATATCTAATTTAATAGACTTGTATTGTAACGTTATTATATCATCGTTAGCCTAAAAAGGATGAACAAAAATGAAAAAAAACTATGTTTTAGTTTATTGTAATTTTTCTTTGATTTAATTAGTATTTAAATTTATAGTAGATATATTTAGCCTCTGTTTGAGCCATATTTTTCATATCATCATAAAGAGAAAATTGATCGTTGGAGAGAAGGTTGGATTCCACACATGAAACAGCAGGTCAACAAAGGCGGCTGGACTTATGGGATAATGGTCTAAATTTTTATTTTTTTGTTCCAAAAATTTGGCTCAAATAAGGATTTAGTTTGTTTTAGATTTATTGTTAGTAAAATATAAATATATAATGAATTCAATGAATTAATAACATAACAGTAGACGAAAAAAAAATATATGACGAAACCGGCGGCTTGAAACAAGACTAAACCGTTAGGTTTAGGTTTGAGTTTTTTTCAAATCGTTCAAAATAGTATGGTTTAGGTTTGAGTTTTTTGAAAATCTGTCAAAAATCTGTAAAATCGGACCGCTTACACCGCTAACGTCATCTATGCAACGGTGAAAAATATCTTCTCAATTTATGTAAAATTAATACTTCATTAATTCATTTAGCACGTGAGTAAATTACTCTCACGTGCAGAACACGTGAGGTCGGTGGACATTGGGCAATCCTTGCCAATTCTGACTTTGAGCGAGGGTCAACTAATTTTCGGATAGGTCTTATGAATCTAAACTAGGGTTCTTTTGTCTCCCGATTTACAGCCATTGTGCGATCGACAAAATCGAAGTGATTATCAAATAAATCATTTTCCCAGGTACTTCTTCCTGAAATATTTTCAGAAGTACTATGTCTATTTATTTATTGATCTATCGTATTTTGCTTAATAAATTTGATATATACCAGAATTTTATAAATTTTGATGTTTTGCGATAAATTGTTCCTTGAAATCACGGTTCTTGTTCTTTCCCTTGTTTAAGTTTTTCTGTAATTTGAATGCGTGATGATTGGTTCTTATGATTAATTTTCTTGGCTTTATCAGTATCTTTTCCTTTTCTTTTTTCATAAAATTAATTAAAAATGTATCTTGTTGGTGGTGAGAGGATCAAGTAATCAAAGAATTTTTTTTGTTGTTTTTTCACTGTATTTAGAGAAATTCAAGAAAATAATTCCAATTTAAGTTTCCTTTTCAGAATTTAAACTCATGATAGCCCTAATGATATTTGACTTTTGTTGAAAAGATTAGGGGTTGTGCTTCTTGATAAAAAATTCGATAAACTTGATAATTGGTAGTTGTGCAGCCTCTCTAGCTTTCTGTTTTGGGAAACTTATGCTACTTTCATTAACATGATTAAATTCAAATTAAAGTACTTTCTTTCCATTGATTATTGATTCTTTGTTGAGAAATACTTTGCTTTCTTTGGCACATTTGGACCTTTAGCAGATTCTCTCCATTAATGGTTTAAAATCATGATTTATCTATCTTGATTATTTAACAGATTTGGATCCGGGAAATCCAAGTAATTATTGTTGTGTTCCCGATTCTTACCACGGAAAAAGGATATATATTTGCATTAGCCAAATTCCACTGTGAGAGAGTTTTCAAATTGCATAGATTCAGCGCTAAGAAAGAAACATACGCATGCACTACACACGTGTAATGCATGCCCTTTCACATGTGGCACTATACTTATTCTTTTTAAGAAAATAATTTCCTTCTCTTAGTTTTGTTTTGCAGACTGCAGAGCTTAGTTTTTCATTTGCTGTTGGGGAACATTCGAATTATAAGTGCAATCATATTTTGTCCTTTTACTCCTCATGATAAGAGCCGGAAACCATGGGAGAAAAGCCTTCAATTGGTTCTTGCCATCAAATTTCTAGAGATGCAGCAGGCATGTACTTGCAGGGCGAGCCTCATTCTTTTAAACCCAACTGGTACTTTACCAGAGAAGAATTAGATCTTTCTCCATCAAGGAAGGATGGAATCAGTAGCGAAGAAGAGTCACATTTGCGGCAGTTATATTGTTCATATTTACAAGAGCTTGGCATGGAGCTTAAGGAGTAAGTGCAATTCGGTTTAGCTTATATGCATTAATTGCTTCTACAGTTTGTATATTTGTGATAGCAAAAAAGTTTTTTTTGTGTGGTTCGAGCATTGTGCTAAATGCATTTGCTTGTAACTACTTGAATATTATTTTTGTTTTCTTTTCCTCTTTCTCCCACTTCCTTCTAAGATCTTGCCCCCTCTGAATTATTCCAATTGCTTGAGATGGTATATGACACTGCACAAGTTTCAGGCCGCAGGTAACCATAGCTACTGCAATGATGTTGTGCCACAGGTTTTATATGCACCAATCCCATAAAAAGAATCATTGGCAGGTAGAAATAGCTGTCCTTTACCCTGTTCTTTACTGTCTACTACAGATTATCTATAATATGATCACTTCATAGGTGCTGCATGTTGTTCTGCCAGTGATGATGTTTTGGATGAATGCATGTAGACTATGTACATAGTATAGACCATTGTAAGGACATATTTGCACGTTATCTCCTTTACATATTTAATACAAGCATTGTGAATCTATTGTAGATAATAAGTGGTCGTGTTCACCCACTATTAATGTGTAGAAGTCCTTTGTATGAGATAAATTAGGAATATAAATATGAAGGATAAAGATAAAATGGAGTCTGCCAGTTCCCTTCTGTTATCTAGAAGCCAAGTCAGGGTATAAGATATGAAGTGTACTCTTTCTTAAACGCTCACTAGGTGTGAGATTGTTTTTTGCAGACTGTTGCAAATTCTAGTATGTTCCTTGCTAGCAAAGCAGAAGACACACCATGTCGTCTGAAAGATATTGTGGTTATGGCTTATAAGTTAATGTACAAATGGCATCCTTCAGCTTCACAAAGAATCAGGGAGAGGGTATGACAATATGGCTGCTGCTTTTATACTATTTTTTTCATTTTGTATGTGAGGACAGATGATGCTTACTTTCATTTGTTTCTCGAAGCAGGAAGTTTATGATAAACAGAAGGAATTGATCTTAACTGGGGAGAGACTTCTATTAGTTACCGTTGCTTTTGATCTCAATATCGAACACCCTTATAAGCCACTAGTTGCAGCTCTGAAGAAGTTGAAAATTTCAGATAAGGAGGTGGTGAAAGTAGCGTGGAATTTTGTGAATGATTGGTAGTTGTTTTTTTTCTTTCACTCTTGATATTTATAGCTTATCATCACATATCATGATTTGTCACGATTCATGTGGCATTATAATGTCATTATCATTTTCCAAAAAAGATAACTGAAACTTTTTGTGTTTTTCTCTTCTGATTTTGGCTGTAAATCTTTTTCTGTACGGAACATTTAGGGTCCGCACGACGCTTTGCTTGCAGTACAAACCACATTATATAGCCGCAGGTTCTCTGTACCTTGCTGTAAAATTTCAGAAGATGAAAATGCCTTCAGAGAATGGGAATATGTGGTGGATGCAATTTGATATTTCACCCAAAAAATTGGAAGGTTAGTCATTTATTTGCCAAGATATCCTTTTCCCCTCGATTTTACATCTTGAATCCTGAAAACAATTTCATTTTTTAGATTCATTTTATTGGTTGCAACATTAATTACATGGTCAGACTGCAATGTAACTCTCATCATTCTCGCTTAGTTTAGACTCGTTTTTGGTTAACTCTACTGCGGATGGTCAATACAGAAGGATGGGCTACATGCTGAATACTCTTTGCAAACAATATTTTGTTCTCATGGCTCTCGTTTATCTATAATTCTGATTCCCATTCGTGAAGCAGCGTGATCCCATTAGAACCCGTCAGGCTAAGAGGTATACCCATTAACATAAGTTGATGTGGTTTCAAAAGATAAGATTTCATTGCATTGGGTCCAAAAAGGATTCATGTAGCCAGTCTAAGTTTATTTGGGATCCCTTCTTGTTGTATAAGTCTGTAATAACTCCTATGGTGCCACCACCCACTTCACCCCCCAATGCCACTCTTGAACTCCAACTCCAACTTGTTATCTTGCTTTCATTGTTGTAGCATTGGTGGTTGGTACAAGAACATTTATCTTCATTATGTTCCTAACCTGCTTCTGTTTCTTGATTGTGATTCAACAGTGATATGCTGATTGAAGCATTTTTTAGGAATTTTGTATTATTTCATGTATTAATTTTTTTTCTCTTTCTTATGTGGTCGTGCTGTTGACGTCTGCTCTTTTAAATAATTTCAATGGGGTTCAATGATTTTCCATTTGTTGAAGCTCTCATTTATAGTTCTAGTCATAAATTTTGCAGAGGTCATTCAGCATATGCTTGGATTGCTAGGGAAGAATAACAAACAAGCATTACAATCCTCATTTAGTGGGAAATCAAAACAAAAGCCTAAAGAAGAATCTAATAGCGCAGAATCATGCATTTCAAGCTACTCTATCATCAGGCAAGATTCAAGCAATATATCATTGGCAAATGCTGGAGCACTTCTGAAATCTGCAACTGCCGTAGGCAATCAGAAACAGCTGTGTGGTGATGCTCTTGATCCCATAAGAAATACCGAGCACCATCAGATCAGTGAGCCTGGTAGTGCAAATAGTGTTGTTGAGGACTGCGACAATGAGCTGATAACAAGAGACTCTGGCCAGAAATCTTCTTGTGCAATTTCGTCAGTTGAAGAGAGTTATCAGAAGATTGATATAAATATGGCTCCAGGTAGCGCAGAATCATGCATATCAGGCGGTTCAGTGGGCAAAGTTTCACACAAGATTCCATTGGCAACTGTTGGAGTAAACTTGTCCACTTCTGCAATTGCCAATTGCAACCAGAAACTGCCACGTCCTGATATTACTGTGACAAAAACTGAGCGGTGCCGGGGTGGTGATTCTCATAGTGTAAATATTGTCATTGATGATGGTGGTGACCTTGAGCCAATATCAGGAGACTCTGGTCAGAAATCGGGTTTGAAGATTGATATAATTACAATAAGAGAGAGAATAAAGAGGAGGAAACTCGAAAGGATAACAAGTAAGAAGCCTACAGAAACCATGGACGAGGAGATAGTAGATGGTGAGGCTTGGATAGAGAGAGAGCTGGAAAGGATATCGAGTTAGTTTCTACTCATTCAGAGGAGCGAAGAGGGTTGAATAATCGGAATAAAGGAAGTCGGCTACTTGGTTTAGCTAGAAATGCAGCTTCAGAAAGATTCATTGGACAATTCCCATTCATTCTATATTTTCGCGCGTGTAGCGAACTGCATTATGCTTCTTGATCCATATATTGGTGTACAATATAGTGTCAAGCCAAAGGTCTTGTACCCTTATAAAGCCACTAGTTGCAGCTCTGAAGAAGTTGAAAATTTCAGATAAGGAGGTGGTGAAAGTAGCGTGGAATTTTGTGAATGATTGGTAGTTGTTTTTTTCTTTCACTCTTGATATTTATAGCTTATCATCACATATCATGATTTGTCACGATTCATGTGGCATTATAATGTCATTATCATTTTCCAAAAAAGATAACTGAAACTTTTTGTGTTTTTCTCTTCTGATTTTGGCTGTAAATCTTTTTCTGTACGGAACATTTAGGGTCCGCACGACGCTTTGCTTGCAGTACAAACCACATTATATAGCCGCAGGTTCTCTGTACCTTGCTGTAAAATTTCAGAAGATGAAAATGCCTTCAGAGAATGGGAATATGTGGTGGATGCAATTTGATATTTCACCCAAAAAATTGGAAGGTTAGTCATTTATTTGCCAAGATATCCTTTTCCCCTCGATTTTACATCTTGAATCCTGAAAACAATTTCATTTTTTAGATTCATTTTATTGGTTGCAACATTAATTACATGGTCAGACTGCAATGTAACTCTCATCATTCTCGCTTAGTTTAGACTCGTTTTTGGTTAACTCTACTGCGGATGGTCAATACAGAAGGATGGGCTACATGCTGAATATTCTTTGCAAACAATATTTTGTTCTCATGGCTCTCGTTTATCTATAATTCTGATTCCCATTCGTGAAGCAGCGTGATCCCATTAGAACCCGTCAGGCTAAGAGGTATACCCATTAACATAAGTTGATGTGGTTTCAAAAGATAAGATTTCATTGCATTGGGTCCAAAAAGGATTCATGTAGCCAGTCTAAGTTTATTTGGGATCCCTTCTTGTTGTATAAGTCTGTAATAACTCCTATGGTGCCACCACCCACTTCACCCCCCAATGCCACTCTTGAACTCCAACTCCAACTTGTTATCTTGCTTTCATTGTTGTAGCATTGGTGGTTGGTACAAGAACATTTATCTTCATTATGTTCCTAACCTGCTTCTGTTTCTTGATTGTGATTCAACAGTGATATGCTGATTGAAGCATTTTTTAGGAATTTTGTATTATTTCATGTATTAATTTTTTTTCTCTTTCTTATGTGGTCGTGCTGTTGACGTCTGCTCTTTTAAATAATTTCAATGGGGTTCAATGATTTTCCATTTGTTGAAGCTCTCATTTATAGTTCTAGTCATAAATTTTGCAGAGGTCATTCAGCATATGCTTGGATTGCTAGGGAAGAATAACAAACAAGCATTACAATCCTCATTTAGTGGGAAATCAAAACAAAAGCCTAAAGAAGAATCTAATAGCGCAGAATCATGCATTTCAAGCTACTCTATCATCAGGCAAGATTCAAGCAATATATCATTGGCAAATGCTGGAGCACTTCTGAAATCTGCAACTGCCGTAGGCAATCAGAAACAGCTGTGTGGTGATGCTCTTGATCCCATAAGAAATACCGAGCACCATCAGATCAGTGAGCCTGGTAGTGCAAATAGTGTTGTTGAGGACTGCGACAATGAGCTGATAACAAGAGACTCTGGCCAGAAATCTTCTTGTGCAATTTCGTCAGTTGAAGAGAGTTATCAGAAGATTGATATAAATATGGCTCCAGGTAGCGCAGAATCATGCATATCAGGCGGTTCAGTGGGCAAAGTTTCACACAAGATTCCATTGGCAACTGTTGGAGTAAACTTGTCCACTTCTGCAATTGCCAATTGCAACCAGAAACTGCCACGTCCTGATATTACTGTGACAAAAACTGAGCGGTGCCGGGGTGGTGATTCTCATAGTGTAAATATTGTCATTGATGATGGTGGTGACCTTGAGCCAATATCAGGAGACTCTGGTCAGAAATCGGGTTTGAAGATTGATATAATTACAATAAGAGAGAGAATAAAGAGGAGGAAACTCGAAAGGATAACAAGTAAGAAGCCCACAGAAACCATGGACGAGGAGATAGTAGATGGTGAGGCTTGGATAGAGAGAGAGCTGGAAAGGATATCGAGTTAGTTTCTACTCATTCAGAGGAGCGAAGAGGGTTGAATAATCGGAATAAAGGAAGTCGGCTACTTGGTTTAGCTAGAAATGCAGCTTCAGAAAGATTCATTGGACAATTCCCATTCATTCTATATTTTCGCGCGTGTAGCGAACTGCATTATGCTTCTTGATCCATATATTGGTGTACAATATAGTGTCAAGCCAAAGGTCTTGTTTAACGCTCTGAATCTGATAGGGCCTACAATACTTGTTAAAAGATAAGAAGAACATTTTCTTTATAGGTGACAATTATTTCCATCTGAAACTTCAAGGCCAGTTTTGGGTACATTCGTCTCGACAGTTTCTATCGAGTGTGTCCGGCTTAGTGGGAGGTGAAAAGTTTTTTTCTGTGTACATATATGTTCTAACGCTTGTCTGTGTATATGTATATTTTTAAATCATGAAGCAAAATGACAGATTAATTTTAAGTTTTAACGAGCAATTTGATTCGATCAAACACTGAAAAACGAGCACAAAATTTTTAAGGCTGTCTGTTTAAGCGAATCACCATCTTATGGGACATGTGAAAAGATAAATCTCACATCTTGAAATGGTTGAAGTTTTATCGACTTTAATGCCATATTAAGATTTGGAGTTTTACATTAAAATGTCCAACTTTATTAAGAAAAATAATCTGAATTTTTGTATTTTGATCTATATCTAACCAATATGAAATTTATCTATTGACATGTAACACAGGAAAAGTAAAGGCGGGCAGGCAGGGAGTAAGGTTATCAAGAGCAAAGTCTAATTCAAGCAACATTTTGTCACGTTGAGACCTCCGTTAAGCATAAAATAAAAAGCTTTCAGGGTATACTCAATAACACACTATTCTGTCGCATTTAATTCTCCCTACAACTTTTATATGGTCAAATACTGATTTAAGTTAATTTAACTTGTGGATTACACAATATTTTTGGCAGGTTATTTCTGAGGATTTTGAAGTTATCAAGGCATACTTCGTTAATAGATTTTGTGGAGAGTAATTTTTTAGAGAATATGTGAATGAAAAATAGAAAAAAAGTTATAAATCCAAATATAAAATTATTTATTAAGAGATCGTGAGATTGAAAACATCTGGAAAAATCATTTTTCAAAAATTTGTACAAAGTAGGGCTAAAGAAATATTTACTACCTAATTATTATCAATCATGCTACATGTACAGAAATGTTTGACAATTGTTTTTATAGATTGCCAGTTGATAAAATTTCAATGGATATTGATTAAAAAAACCAAGTCAAATCGGTTAATACATTATTGTCGCCTCATCTTTTGTAATGGTTTTTTCTTCTCTCTCTCTCTCTTTTTTTTGTTTTTTTTTGTTTTTTTTTTTGTTTTGTACATTTCGTCCATTCAATGAGCTCCATTCAATTGTTATAAGTTGAAATCACAATTCCAAAATATGTATTTATCTACTTGTCTCTTTTGTTAGAATTTACGTTCTGAGATCTGCAAAAACTCATCAATGGAACTGATTCAAGCAAAACATATCTGAATTTGGCTGTCAATCTTTAGAAGTTGAGTACTGGAAATTAAGCCCTAAGACTGTTCCCATACACATTTCTCTCGAGGATGAATACAAAATTCATCAGAGTTTACAATATGTTCGAGTACAATACTGTACAATACAACAACAGAGTACGAGGTTCAACTTCGAAAACAAAGTATTCAGGTACATTTTAGCAAGTCCCTCTTCGAGTCTCATTCTTTGAAAATTCATTTTTCTCCGAATCATTTTCAACTATTCATCATTCCAATAAAATAATTTTACACGTGAACTTACTTTTTAACCACACATTCTCTCAAAAATAAATAAATAAATAAATAACAATCACTATTCCGCGATGAACGCAGTAACGGTCGGCTATCTTTTTTCTCAGGTTTGGGAACTTGCAAAGTGGGAGCATCGTGCACCAAGTTAATCCAAAATCCAGCTGCACGAGTAAATTCTTCATGTGGGATGAAATGGAATACATCCCTTTCTCCTGAAAGTCTTCAAATTATCTCCCATTTCTGCAAAATCGCTACGGTTAAGAACTAAGAAGTGAATTTAGTTGAGACAGAAGCCTAAAAGGAATAATACAACTTATATAACATGTCGGGGGTTATGATATTTTGGGAGCTTTATGCCAATTTTAAATTAGAGTCCCATATTTTGAGTCTTTTTGTACAGAGTTTTAGCCCCAGTTTGATGGAGATTAAGCCATTTTTTGAGCCCAATTTTTTTTATCAAAATATATTTTTCAACAATGATTTGATACCATTTCAACCATACATTTTTCAATAAAATAATATTTCACGTAAATCCAAAACTTTTCCTTATTTTTTAACTACATGTTCTCCATCGTAACACTATTTCAAAATGCATTTTTTTGAAAAAAATGGGGCTCAAACAATCCCTAAAATATAATTTTCATTTTTTTCGAAATGCATAATTAGTTTCTTATGTTTGCATATGATACTTCTATATTACAGATTTCATAAATACTACTATAAAATGAAAGATTCTAGACTAATTAGACAATCAAACTATAATTAAAATAACTATCAGAAATGTGTAAAAAAATAAAAACAAGATCATGGACAACATGAAACTATTTTCATATTCTTAACACTGACAAATGACAAATTACTGATTTATGTTCTCAAACAAGCAACTTAATTTTGTGCCATCAATCACATACTACGACCTTAAATATCGGGTGTATTTCAATCAAACACATCAACCTCATCCTAAAGTGATCATCTAATTCTCAAACATAAATAAATGACAATTTAATTTTGTTCCCTCAATCACATTCTACGACCTTAAATATCGGTTGAAATTCAATCAAACACATCAAACTCATATTCTAGAAGTCGTCATCTAAAATTATAGGTTGCTACAGTAAAAATGAAAACTCAGAAATTGCTGGATCTTCAGCTTAGCTTCAGTGAAAAGCACAAGGGTTGGTTGAGCTTATACCTAACTTTTGTTAATGCTTGAAGGGTGTAGGATTGCAAAAGAAATTAGTACCAAACACATGCATGAAAGTGTCATCCGAGCCTTATATTGCAAGATTTAGGACAATAACACAGGAGATATTCATCGAGTGACAAAAGGTTTATTCAGATCTAAGTTTGTGACGATGAGGAAAATTGCCAATCAAGAAACAACAGGTGGTCAACAGGTCAAGTTTGCATGAGTTTAAAGTCAGGACTCAAGAGTAAATCAAGATAATTTTGCACGTGTCGGATACGGACATGCTAGCCAAATTGAAGTGTCTGTGCTACGTAGGTCAGGAGTAAATCAAGATAATTTTGATCTATTTCTGCTGTACTTTAAGCAGACATACATTCATTTCCCGGTCTTAGCATCCATTGAGAATAATAACACAATAAAATAAATAAACCCAGCTAATAGCTTAATTTCAACAGAAGAAAAGTCATGTCTGCATAACTTTATGAGAGAGAGTGCAGTCGACATTCCCAAGTACTCAAAAAGAAGAGCTCTGCATAGGCAGTAGAACAATGAATTGGGATGATAAAATTAGATGCTGATGAAGTCCCAAAAAGTAAATTTCAATGCTATGGCATGCCAAGCTAGTCTATTATTCAAGCAGAAATATGAAAGGCCGTTTAAAGAACTAAAAATTACCAGCATTATGTTTTGATATAGGAAGCATGTTCACAGCATTCAATTAATTTGAGGAGTTTCCTTGATGCTCTCCCTATCTTCAACTTCTTTGGCAGCTCTCTTCATCTGGACATAGCAGCTGACTATCTGCTGATCTAACTTGTAATGGCGTTCCATTTTCTTCAATGGTTTCATGTCCATGTCGATAAAAGATGCCTAGCAAATTTCCATCTGAATTAGCCATCCAAATTTCTTTCTCAATGAGCCATGAATGAAACGAGAATAAATACAATGGATAAAACTCCTAAAATTTTCAACTTGGATTATTACATTTATTTTCTTACATGTTTACCATTATCAGTGACGTTTCAAAAGAAGGCAACACTAGATAAAGTAATTTCCCTGCTAAACCTATATGACCTAATGATCCATAGGACCACATGACAATATGCAGTACCCAGAAAATCAATATGCGTTAAAAGCTTTTCTGCATGATTATCCACGTCTTGTGAGATAACTTTCTGTACTTAAGAAAATTAGAGAAAACATAACATGGAAGAACTAAATCTAATAATATAGTTAAAATTAACATAATCTTCATCTCAATAAATAATGCCAATAATCTTATGGACAAAAGTCACCTCTGAGTTGTTGAAGATTTTTGTAGAAAAAGGAAATTTGTACTTCTAATTAAAAGGTCATATTCATAAAAACTTTAATCTCATTTGATGCTCTAAAGCACACATTTAATTTCTAGAAGCTAATAAGTAATAAATATCTTGGAGAACTGGTTCACCTTGTAATAAAAAATTTGATCGGTTGATTCTAGATAGACGGTGCTACATGAAGACTCCAGGTCCCCGTTTTCTCTGGATTTGAAACTAATCATCATACTTAAGTCCTTGGCAGTAGCAGATATCAAGTAGACCCTCACAAGTTTTAAGCTTTGATCCCTCGGAATTGAATGCAGAGATGCATATCTTTCCTTTACACCTTTCTGTCTACAGATCATACAAGGCTGAGAAACAATATCATAGTATGAATGAATTGCCCCTTCAATGTCAAAAATATCAAGCTTCTGGACTTCAAGAAGTAGACTTAATAATCCTGACTTGAAAACCGACTCAGTAACAAGCTCGAGAAAATATTTAGTGCGCATCCCATCTTCTGCCCGAATTACATGCTTCAGAGAATAATCAAATTCTTGGTCAACCATACAAGTAGTGTCTGCACCACCACCCAAGCCTCCAAAAATAAGTGAACCATTTAAGAAAACCTGGAAATTGTTTTGAGGAGTAAGGAAGAGGGACTTCATTGCATTTTGGACTCTGTCCTTCGATCCAGAAAACACATCCAGTGGATCATATTTACTTATCTGCGATATCTGTTACAGAACCATGTGAAATCTGTTAGGATCTTCCTTAAGCTGCTCAAAGTGATTTTCGGGCTCAGTTAACCATTAAACATCGAATTCAACATCAAAACCGAAGGTGACCGAATCCGCCGGCTTCTCTTCTCCTATGGTTGCTTTCCTCTTTTGCTTGTTGATTCAATCCACACACTTAGGATGGATACCACACAGGTAAGAGTCACAAAGGCTCAAGCAATTGGCATGGAAGACAAATCACGAAGAAGAAGGCAGAAGAAGAACACGACAGTCTCTCTTGTTGCTCTCGGGTTCTATATGGACGGGTTTGAGAGGCAAAGGAAACCACCAATATATATATATATGTTAAGTGGCCAACATAAGGTAAGTCAAGATATGGTAAGTAAGCTCGACTAGGGTTAATTTCCAATGGAAAGAAACAACAAGCCACAAAGAGTATTAGCCGTCCAATAGGTAAAGCAACGTTTGGTCGGCTCATCCATTATTCGATGTTGAATTATCGTTCAGTCATTCATGTCGATTGATAAAATTAGTTTTCATCATCGCCCGGGAGGTCGTTTGACAACATCATGTCTAACAACCTCCACCTTGGTGTCAAAGGACCTGCAAAGAAAAACGTTTTTCCATTAGTGACACCTCTAACAGAAAAACCGATAAAATTGAAATCATTTACCTGTACCGATGTTTAGAAGCTCTTTGCAACTTCTAAACTTTACCAGTGGCAGCACTTTCGTGCCCATATCTGAAGGATTATACTGTGTGTGAATTTTTTCAAGTCTTACTACTTCTTGTGATATTATATCCCTAATGAAGTGTAACCTAACATCGATATGTTTAGTGGAGAATATGTGAATGAAAAATAGAAAAAAAGTTATAAATCCAAATATAAAATTATTTATTAAGAGATCGTGAGATTGAAAACATCTGGAAAAATCATTTTTCAAAAATTTGTACAAAGTAGGGCTAAAGAAATATTTACTACCTAATTATTATCAATCATGCTACATGTACAGAAATGTTTGACAATTGTTTTTATAGATTGCCAGTTGATAAAATTTCAATGGATATTGATTAAAAAAACCAAGTCAAATCGGTTAATACATTATTGTCGCCTCATCTTTTGTAATGGTTTTTTCTTCTCTCTCTCTCTCTCTCTTTTTTGTTTTTTTTTGTTTTTTTTTTTGTTTTGTACATTTCGTCCATTCAATGAGCTCCATTCAATTGTTATAAGTTGAAATCACAATTCCAAAATATGTATTTATCTACTTGTCTCTTTTGTTAGAATTTACGTTCTGAGATCTGCAAAAACTCATCAATGGAACTGATTCAAGCAAAACATATCTGAATTTGGCTGTCAATCTTTAGAAGTTGAGTACTGGAAATTAAGCCCTAAGACTGTTCCCATACACATTTCTCTCGAGGATGAATACAAAATTCATCAGAGTTTACAATATGTTCGAGTACAATACTGTACAATACAACAACAGAGTACGAGGTTCAACTTCGAAAACAAAGTATTCAGGTACATTATAGCAAGTCCCTCTTCGAGTCTCATTCTTTGAAAATTCATTTTTCTCCGAATCATTTTCAACTATTCATCATTCCAATAAAATAATTTTACACGTGAACTTACTTTTTAACCACACATTCTCTCAAAAATAAATAAATAAATAAATAACAATCACTATTCCGCGATGAACGCAGTAACGGTCGGCTATCTTTTTTCTCAGGTTTGGGAACTTGCAAAGTGGGAGCATCGTGCACCAAGTTAATCCAAAATCCAGCTGCACGAGTAAATTCTTCATGTGGGATGAAATGGAATACATCCCTTTCTCCTGAAAGTCTTCAAATTATCTCCCATTTCTGCAAAATCGCTACGGTTAAGAACTAAGAAGTGAATTTAGTTGAGACAGAAGCCTAAAAGGAATAATACAACTTATATAACATGTCGGGGGTTATGATATTTTGGGAGCCTTATGCCAATTTTAAATTAGAGTCCCATATTTTGAGTCTTTTTGTACAGAGTTTTAGCCCCAGTTTGATGGAGATTAAGCCATTTTTTGAGCCCAATTTTTTTTATCAAAATATATTTTTCAACAATGATTTGATACCATTTCAACCATACATTTTTCAATAAAATAATATTTCACGTAAATCCAAAACTTTTCCTTATTTTTTAACTACATGTTCTCCATCGTAACACTATTTCAAAATGCATTTTTTTGAAAAAAATGGGGCTCAAACAATCCCTAAAATATAATTTTCATTTTTTTCGAAATGCATAATTAGTTTCTTATGTTTGCATATGATACTTCTATATTACAGATTTCATAAATACTACTATAAAATGAAAGATTCTAGACTAATTAGACAATCAAACTATAATTAAAATAACTATCAGAAATGTGTAAAAAAATAAAAACAAGATCATGGACAACATGAAACTATTTTCATATTCTTAACACTGACAAATGACAAATTACTGATTTATGTTCTCAAACAAGCAACTTAATTTTGTGCCATCAATCACATTCTACGACCTTAAATATCGGTTGAAATTCAATCAAACACATCAAACTCATATTCTAAAAGTCGTCATCTAAAATTATAGGTTGCTACAGTAAAAATGAAAACTCAGAAATTGCTGGATCTTCAGCTTAGCTTCAGTGAAAAGCACAAGGGTTGGTTGAGCTTATACCTAACTTTTGTTAATGCTTGAAGGGTGTAGGATTGCAAAAGAAATTAGTACCAAACACATGCATGAAAGTGTCATCCGAGCCTTATATTGCAAGATTTAGGACAATAACACAGGAGATATTCATCGAGTGACAAAAGGTTTATTCAGATCTAAGTTTGTGACGATGAGGAAAATTGCCAATCAAGAAACAACAGGTGGTCAACGGGTCAAGTTTGCATGAGTTTAAAGTCAGGACTCAAGAGTAAATCAAGATAATTTTGCACGTGTTGGATACGGACATGCTAGCCAAATTGAAGTGTCTGTGCTACGTAGGTCAGGAGTAAATCAAGATAATTTTGATCTATTTCTGCTGTACTTTAAGCAGACATACATTCATTTCCCGGTCTTAGCATCCATTGAGAATAATAACACAATAAAATAAATAAACCCAGCTAATAGCTTAATTTCAACAGAAGAAAAGTCATGTCTGCATAACTTTATGAGAGAGAGTGCAGTCGACATTCCCAAGTACTCAAAAAGAAGAGCTCTGCATAGGCAGTAGAACAATGAATTGGGATGATAAAATTAGATGCTGATGAAGTCCCAAAAAGTAAATTTCAATGCTATGGCATGCCAAGCTAGTCTATTATTCAAGCAGAAATATGAAAGGCCGTTTAAAGAACTAAAAATTACCAGCATTATGTTTTGATATAGGAAGCATGTTCACAGCATTCAATTAATTTGAGGAGTTTCCTTGATGCTCTCCCTATCTTCAACTTCTTTGGCAGCTCTCTTCATCTGGACATAGCAGCTGACTATCTGCTGATCTAACTTGTCTATCGAATTCAGCATTACAGAATTCTAAGCCGTTATCTGTCCTTAAAAATTTGATCCTCTTGCTAGTTTGATTTTCCATTTGTTTCTTCCAATTGTTAAAGTTATGGAAGGTTTCAATTTTGTCTTTCAATAGATAGACCCACTTTCCTGGTGTAGTCATCTATGATAGATAGGAAATACCTACTCCCACCTGATGTGGGATTACTAGCAGGACCCCACAGATCAGAATGCACATATTCAAGCATGCTTTTAGCCTTATGCGTACTAGTGGAGAACGACACTCTATGGTGCTTTCCAAGCACACAGTGATCATAGAACGATAGGTCAGACACACAGTCATTACCAAAAGCACCTTTTTCATTAAGTAACTTAAGTCCTTTAATGCTTACGTGTGCAAGCCTGCTATGCCACATATGTGCGTGATCGATTTTGGAGGAAGAAATAGAGGAGTTTAATCCTCTAATTACTTCCCCAGTAGTGATGTAAATGTCATTTTTCTTGATTCA